TTTATGTACAAGTATCATCTATTTCTAGCCCACGACACCGATATAGCTCACGTAGATTTACAAGAAGCGGTCTATTACAAGTATTAATGTCATTACGAAATTTTTATGAATAAAATCACAGTGAAGATAACAGCTGGTTTACATAGACGAAATTATTTATTATTATTATGACTTCATACTTCATTATTCATACTATTAATTTCATTAGTTGACCGGCTTGGTAGGAGTTTGTTGTTATGTTTAATGAAATTGTATCGAGACCACGTTCGGCACTCTGATTGGCCGGCTCTAATGAACCAACCAATCAAGAGTGCCGATCGCGGTCTCGTTCCGATTACCTTAAACGTAGAATAAAATCGTACCAAGCCTTTTGTATTTTTACAGACTACATTTTGCACGCATTTATGGTATAGTAGATATTTACATGTTTCATAGCCGGATTGCAGAGGTCAATATAATAATTTTATCTTCTGTCACTATGGCTCTGATGCGAAAAATATAAATAGCACGAAAATGTATTGTAATAACTTTAAATCAAAACAAAATCGTATTTTATAGACACAACTGAGTCAGGTGTGAAACTAGTTTCATCAAATTCATTTCTCACGAAATTTGCGTAAAATTATAGCAATTATATTTGCATTCCTGTTTTTATTTACATAATTCATTTTAGTTAAACCAATAAGGCTAACAAATACTTTTAGGAGATATAAATAAACTAGAAATGAGAAAAGTCTATAAAATTATAATACGATTAACATTTCGAAATAAATAGCGTCGATAAATAAAAAGAAACCTGTTTTCTGACCCAGCTGGCAACTCCACTGTGATGTAAAAAATAAAATTGAAAATAAATTAGTGGTATTGTCTTTTATTCTTCAACCCGTAGTAAACTAGCAACCATTGGCTTTTAGATATATTTCTTTTATATTACGATCTCTTTAATGTTTTTCCCTAGCCTATTATGACCACCTTCATGCTATCTAAGTACATATAATTGACGAGAAGTTGAGAAATACTACGAATAAAAGTTTCAAACGATATTTTTCCTATAGGAAAATAAATAATTAATTTTGTGACTTTTAAAACGAATTAAATTAGGATAATAATGCCAACATAAATAACATAACATAACATCACGCCTTTAATCCCCGTAGGTGAGAGAGAATCCCATCGCAGAGGTGCACATTACGACACTTAATGCCACTGTACTTACAATGTAACACCCACCTTTCACTGATTTTGTTACGAGTGCCATGTTCTAAGAGTTAAGCCTATTGCCATATACCGGGGACAATTCCAGACTCCGTGACTAAGATTTTTGTAAAAACCCAGTATCCAAAATAAATACGTAAATAAAATGTTAATAATAACAGTAACAAAAGATACAACGTTTTTAAACAAAATAAACTTTTTTTGCTAATGGAAACTTCTCACAGCCGAAAGTATTACTTAAATGTTCACTACATTTTTATCAAATACTTTTACGTTGAAAAGGCTCAGCAGCTGTAGCCAAATGCCATTTAGCGCTTGTCTACATGTAGAATAGAAAACCAAATTATACGGAATTGACGTAATTTTGACACTTGTCAGTGTCATCCCCATACATTTTGATTTATACTCTCTCTGTAGACAAGCGCTAAAGTGGCGTTTGGCTAAAGGCCCAGAACATCAAATTAACGATAGACTAATTTTAATTGAAATATGAAGAGCCTTCAACGGTTCTAAGCTTGTTATAATATTGAAGTAAAATTTAATAGGATAGCAATTTTTAAAGGTAATAACTGCTCAACGGAAAAATTGTCTTCAATAAATATGGAGTTAGATAATGATCGCATTTATACATTGCTTTTCTATATTTTTGTCCTATGTGACATATTGTAGATCAAAGACCATGAGGCCAACATATATGATGTAACGTTACGTTAATATTCGACAAAGGTGTCAAGTAGAAGTCCTAATAAGACATGTAGGTAGCGAGCTAAAATTATAATTCCGAAATATCAAGAACATTGGCAACCATTGTCACTTTTTTCATGAACAGCCTATAAATGCCCACTGCTGAGCAAAGCCTCTTCTCACACGGAGAAGGTTAGAGCATTAATCACCACGCTTGCTCAATGCGGGTTGGCGATTTCAAACTTATAATTCGAAATTATAAGTCCAGATTTCCTCACGATGTTTTTCCTTCACCGTTTGTCAGTGGTGTCTAAATAATCTTAGAAAGTACATATAACTCGGAAAAAGTCACATTGGTACTTGCCGTTGGTAGGTTTCGAACCCGCACCCTCATGCATGAGAAGTGGGCGTCTTAAACCTCCGGGCCTCCACGACACTGTCACTTTTTTACCACTATTTAATGATAAGCGATTATACGGCCGTCTACCTATGCAACCTATTCACTCGTATTTTGAAGACACCCACGTCATAGACTTCTTCGGAAAAATAGATTTAATGAAGTTATCGCGCCACTAGAGGTGCTAGTGTAGCTTGAGGTCTAATTGCCCGAAAGAATATTTGATAAAGTCAAATCAATATAGTTGAGCACAAACGTGCAAACTATCATAAATCATTTTTATCTAATCTCTTGCTCACACTTATGCGGGTTATGCGGCATTGTCACATTGTTAAGACGTGACAGTTCGCACATTTGTAATGGCTCGACTATATTCAGTTACCTTGGGGCGGTGAAGCTGATTGGACTTATAGGATCCGTCGACAATGGCGCCCTCTTATGAGCGCAATAAAGAAAATCTTCGATGACAATTTATGACTTCAAATTTAGACATTGTCAGGACCCTGTGATCAACAATATGTCAAATAGAACAATTTTTTTTTTGTTCGGACCCTACACCTATCATGACTGCCTACTTGCACCAATAAACATATATAAATACATACATAATGTATAATATACCAGTCTGCACTACTAGTAACAATTATTTCCCTTCATAAAAATAATTTTTCATTTTGACAACATTGTATAATTAAAATATACTGTCAATCCTATAGATACAGGTTTATTTGTACTATTATTATTAAAAGTGCATTGGTAGGAATTATCGATGTCAGTTTCAAGTAAAATATTGCAAAGAAATCTTGTGATATACGGATGGTGAGATACTGAACTTATCTGAACAGATAACTTTCAGAGACACTTAAACACTAAACAAATGATATAGATGCTAGACGAACAAGAGAATAGAGATTGACATTAGTTGACATAAGTTGGGTTAGTTTGACATGGTTAATTAAATGTCAATGTCAATACCATTCTTTGACTTTTCTGTTCAATTGATTGACTAGCATCTAAATGTCATTTATCTACTGGAACTGAAAAGACAATTATAGCGTTCAACTAAACTAAGCAACCAGACGCCTACATTTCAAGCTTCCTCAAACCGTCCAATACAAATTCAACTTAACGGGATTGTAACAAAGTTGAAAATGAATCGACAGTTTAGGGTAGCTTGATGTGCCAATGTTAAGACGTAGTCTACTGAACAGATAAGTCCGTAATAAAAATAGAAAAACATGAGAAACCTTTGTAAATATAGCTTCAATAGATTACAGGTACAAATTGAATATCTTAATATATCCGAACTTTTCTATTCTTACAAGTAATTCTACTAACCAACTTTGTCACAGGCTGGCCGTATAAACGAGAAAATTATGCGAGATCTATGACGTACAAGATTTAGTCTGTGGTGTTTGAGAACTGTCAAAATCAAATGACGTTTAGGTTGACATGTCAGTATGACAACAGTTGATATCGTATTAGTAAGAATTTTGTACATTGTCTCAATACCATTTCCCACATTATTTTCTCGATTATCAACCCTCTACCGTACTAAACCCATAGTCAATAGTCTACGTATATGGTAAATATTTATCGATCTCTCATAAATTAATCGACCAATAACAGAAGGCTATTTTTCACGATATCCATAAGCCTGGCTCGTGATTGGCTGCCGTTGTACTCGTCAACCAATCACAGAGCTGAAATATATTGACAGCGTATTTATTGAACATCAGGCTTTATACATTTGAAATAACAAACACATTTAAAGTTCATTTAATCGATTTTGACCCTTATTGCATAGACATACAGATGACATTTAAAGCAAATGAAAAATTGACTAACTTCTGCAGTTCTAATAAGTCTTATTACTAATGCAATAGAAGTTAAAATCGTACGAATGAACTGTAAATGTGATTGTTAATTCAAATGGTATACATGTAGGTATATTATTTAGCTTACAATAACATATAAGTTACATTAATCAACCGCTAGATGGCTTTAAATAGAGAGAACACAATCTAATGTCAACCTTCATCATCAGCCCATGACAGTCCACTACTGGAGTGAAGGACTCCTTAACACAAGAAGAGATTGGCCATAATAATATCCACGCTTATAATTAAGAACAAGAATTAATTTAAACTGACAGGACTTAACTCGCTAGTAGCGCCACCTAACATGCGCAAAAATGACAACTTCTGCCTTTAATACTCTTGAAAGTCTACTAAATAATATACCTACTTATAACACTTCAAAGATAGCGTCTAAACAAGATAGATAAAGAAGCTAATATTCAGAAATATTATTCATGTTATTTATGACTATGAATAATGAATATCGCATATTTTACGTTGAGTATATAAAATAGAAGTGTTAATGTTTGTAAAAAGAAACTTGCGAGTAAAATATTATTCAAAATCATTAAAACACTGTCTTCAATGTTTATATTTATTTTATAGTCATTAATTCATTATTAATGTAGTCTGTCTTCATTTCACATAACATAACATCACGCCTTTTATCCCCGAAGGAGTAGGCAGAGGTGCACTTAATGTCACTGTACAATGTAATACCCACTTTTCACTATTTATGTTATGAGTGCCACGTAATAGGGGCTGAGCCTATTGCCATATCCCCTTATTTCAATTCATTATTATTACTATAAAATAGTTGTATCTCAAACTGACCATCACTATTCGATTTAAATTGACTATATCGAAGTAATGACTTTCCTATTTTGACAAAAAATAACGTGTTCAGTATTTTTTCATTACTTAACTGACGGATTTATACCATGTTTAATTTTTATATCTGAACTATAAAATAACTACAAACATGACTAAAACATGTTATAAGCCACTTACCTATCAGTATTTAGCCGCCATCTTAGCCAAGATATAGCCTGTACAGCCTAACTAGCCGTCACAATAACAAGGGATATTTTATTAAAGTCTATAATAAAACTCTAATTTATCGCTAAGCGGGAAGCGAGACACAACCATCTAGCAGAGCCATTCGCACTGCGGTTTACGCTGGAAAAGAGAAAATATTATTTTAACTCGTCGAGTACCGTATTTATAGACACAATTAAAGAACAATAGGTTGCGGTCACCGGTGACCGCTTGGTGTTTGACAGTTTAATACACAAATATGCCTATTATTGTGAGAAGGGGTAGGAAGATGTGCATATAGTAAGTGTAACATTCACTTTTCGGCATTAAAGCCGGCAATGCCATAAAATGAAGTAAACGGGGACTTGATGCTCTATTTCAAAAATTTGAATCCTTAGGGCCAATTTTTACAACGCTAGTTCAATTATATCGGAGGTATAAGTTTGAATATTTGACAATTCTTCCGGACTAAAAACTGTCAACTCTGTCAATTTTATTCTAAAGGTAACACTAGAAAGATGGGAGCAGTCGTTTGATCGCAATTTGATTTTAAATGTTGATAAACTTAAAAACTATTTGAGTTATTCAACTGAGACTTAGTTAAGAACTAACTGTTGATTGAAATATCAGCCCTTAGTTAACTATGGTTTTTTTCATTGGGGAATATAAGCCAAAGAGGGCAGTGCTGTTTGAGATCACTCCATCACAGTGACAACTATTGATTAAAATTTACAATTTGCGAATATCACTTTACATATTATTATTTGACAACATTGCCCTATTACTAGAGAAGAATGTTGAATTTAATTCATCTCTAGAATTTTTAGTTTTTTTTTTCTTATCGAAGGTACGATATGATGTATCAATACGTACGAGTATGAGTAGGCGCGGTCACCATATCGCGGGCGCGACGTCGTCTGGGAACCCTGCCTCGCGCGCCTTCCAGTACTCCCCGTTGAACACCCACGTCTCCTCGCCGCTCTCCAGAGTTTTTCTGTCATTGGGAATATATACATAAACTATGTGCACTTACAATTTTGTTAAGGGTTAGGTAGGGTGTTTAGATGACGTTTATCGTATGCTGGCGGAGTGAATTAAATTTAAGATGGTGAGGGACTCACTGATGCAACATACATACATGTACCTAACTTCACTCCTGTCTCCCATGGGGGTAGGCAGAGATTATAGAACGCCAAATACTACGATTCCTACATACTACTATCGCTTCATCAACAGTCATCAATCTTTTCATGCATGCTCGTCGACTGATGCAACATTTTAATATAAAAAAATAATATGATTTGGGATCCTTTTCTAGTAATTTGCCTTTAAGCAATGCACCACGATCTATTGTAATGATGGTGCAATAGTGATGACCCGCTGGTATTTGATACTTATAATTAATTTACTTATACTTTTAGTTTTTAAGTTTTTTTTATAAGTTTGGGTTACGATGAGGCTGACGTAGCCTATTGGTTAAAAGTACCCTAAAATAAAATAGAAAAAGGTAGGATGTTGTGCCACAATCATTTTTCGCCAGATAAAAAGTACTCTGATGCCAAATCGATATTTGTACCGTAGTTTTACAATCGATGCTATTATTGAGAATTTAGATTAAAAAAAACAATCTTTTAGTCCGAAAATAGAACAAAATACGGGAATTTTGTCAACGAACACCTTATACTGGATTTGAACTGCAAAATGTATGTCTATCCTTACGAAACGTTTCATACTTGTGTGCGTCTTTTCTAACCACTTTTAAAGAATAGATCTTTAAAGTAATGTCAAACTTATATTTTAACATCGATAATGTGCAAAAGTGATATTTCTATCAACATGGTATGTATTATGGTATTATGACAGACACGCACCGGAACCAGGCGGGCGCGTGCGCGGCGACGTCCCTGCGGCGGTCGCGCTGCGCCTGCTCCAGCTGGTGCTTCAGCTGCTCCGCCGCCTCCACGTCGCCCTCCTCCAGGGCGCGCTGGTCCGGCCTGGGAGAGCACACGGGTACATATTTCAGACAAGTAATACCTAGGTTACACTAATATTGCAGAAATAAGTGCTTTTCAGTCCATTCTGTCCAATGTGTTGTTAAGATCTATGATATCGTATGTAGTTTGGACAGACCCTTATATGTATATCTCGCTACTCCAATAATTCTCATGGTCACGACGAGTCTGGTATAATCTGCTTAGATTTAAAGACTCTTATTATATTTTAATAAAGAGAAAAAAAAGGTTACACAATAAGTACAGCAAGTGTTGTGCGACCAACTGATATGATTATGGAGTCTCGGCATGGCTTGAAAGTAGTCAAGAAACCTCGTCGATAAATTACGTAGCTCTTTACAGATTAATTATGAAGTTCGTGTTAATGCGGCGAGTATCAGTTGCTAAGGCACTCATAATTATGGGCTCCAGGCATAGTTTGATATTAGTCGAGTAACCTCGTCGAGTAGTTACGTAAGTCGTACAACCTTATTGATTAAATACTGTACTTATCAAAATGCATTACATATATAAGACTAAATCTTATAATTTAGAATGAAATAAAACTAACGTGTTGCTTTTTAAATTAAGAAACGACATTTAATGTTTTATTCTTCCATAAATTCTATAACGCAGGCCTATAACGCAAAATTCTTATATTATTGACGTTTAAAATAACCAAAGACTATTTGACAATAGTAATCAATTCAAAAATTAATAAATCCTTTATCTTTACACATATTTAAAGTACCCTCCTACGGTCAGGTAAAAACAATATCCTATTAATCGTTTTTCAGGAGTGAACATCTTCCATCTGATAATGACGATCCTATACATATTTATAAACGAATGTAACGCTGTATTTACCTGAGTCGTGTGTCAGTATGTGGCAGAGTCCCCCGCATGGCGGGCTCCAGTTCGTTGAGTTCCATCGCGAACCGAGTGAACCCGTAGTACAGCTCGTGCTCCGGGGGCATCGCGCCTGGGGAGAACATCATTCAGAATCAGAATCAGAATCAGAATATCAGAATCAGAATATTTTTATTTGTAAACATAGGTATGTGAGGTGTTACAGGTAGGCAGATTCTCCATGTTTTGCCCAGAGGCGTACAAATATTATATATGATTAAAATTATTTAACATTGTCATCATTCAAAAATTAATTGACACTTGTAATTGTAAATTAAATTGAAACCGATTAAGTAACATGTCATACAATACTAATGCCAAATAAAATTAGGATCATCAAATAAGTCATAAGTAATGTCAATATTAACAAGATTTAACAATTTGTCTAGAGAGATTAATTTTCGTGTCATATTATTTAGCGTTAAATATAACATTAACAGATATTAATACGCATATACATATCATTACAAATAAAATAGAATTAATTCAATAAAATGTCAAAAACGATTAAAGTTACATGTCATATAGGCCAATGTCAAACAAAATTCAAAACATCAAAACAAATGGGGTTGTGCGCTATTGTCTGAGGTAGTAATTATAGAATTGTCGTCCAAATAGGCCTTTACTGAGTAATAGCACTTATTTATCAAAATTTTCAATAGTTCTTTTTTGAAATTGTCTAAGTTTAACGTCTTTATTGTCTCAGGTAGTTTGTTAAATATTTTTTGGGCCATACTGAGGATACTCTTATTCATTAACGCAGTTTTTCCATGAGTTACTTCAAGTTCTGACTTATTCTTGTCGCGTAATTTTCTGTAGTAGCTTTTAGTGGCTATTTTATATAGTGAGAGATTAGTTTTGACAAACACATTAGTTTCGTATATGTATAACGATGGCAAGGTAAGAATGTTTAGGCGAATAAAAAACGGTTGACAGCTTTCCTTGCTGTTAAGGCCACACATCGCTCTGAGACATCGTATTTGTGCTCTAAATACGGATTCCCTATCTACTGAATTACCCCAATATATTACGCCATATCTGAGTACTGATACAACATAACCGTGATAGGCTGCCAGGACGGATTCTAAGTTTACAATTTTTGATAATTTATAGAGAACATAAGCAAATTTGTTTAATTTTTTACATACTTCGTCTGTCTGGGATCGCCAAGTCAAATTGTTGTCAATATTAATACCAAGAAATTTAATAGTTGTTACCGGTTCAATTGTTGTCCCCAAATAGTTAATATTTAGATTATTGTTTGTGATCCTTTGATAAAAATGCATAATTTTAGTTTTTTCTAAGTTTATTTTTAGATTATTTTTATCAAACCATGATATCATTTTATTCAATGTCATATTTATTTCATTTCCATAAGTATTGGGATTGTCACACTCAATGACTACGGTACTATCATCGGCAAAAAGCACCATAGGGTGATTTATTTGTTCCGGAAGGTCATTAATATAAACCAAAAAAAGAAGGGGTCCCAGCACGCTACCTTGAGGAACGCCGTATTTAATTATCTCGCTTTCGGATTTATATTTATTCTCGCAACAAGTTTTCGAACATATTTGTGTGATTTCTACAAATTGTCTTCTATTCGTCAAGTAAGACCGAAAGAGTTCTAATACATTACCTCTGATACCATATCTTTCTAGTTTGTATAAGAGTACGGAATAATCTACATAATCAAAGGCTTTTGTTAGATCCGTAAAGATAGCGCATACAGGTTTTCTGCTATCCATATTTGATAAAATGGGGAGAAGCAAGTCATGTATTGCCATGTTTATTGTCTTTTGTTTGCGAAATCCTTTTTGTTGCTTAACTAATATATTTGACTTCTCAAGGTAGCTATACAATGATTTGTAAATATTTATTAGGAAGTTTGAATTGAAAATGTATGTGTGTGTAGTATGTACCTCGTGTGTTCATAAGTTTTGAGACAAATTAAAAGTTGCTTATCTTTTTAAATATTAAACTTATATTTATAAAAACAATAACAAACATTAAGTAGATAGTAAGTAAAAATTAAATATAATTATTATTCAAAATGACCACCCCTGTTTTTAATACATGCCCTTAGACGATTTGGCCAGTCATCAATGGCGGCACGAATATTTTCCAGAGGAATTCGCTTCGCTTCTCGGACAAGAGCTCGCTTAAGTGACTCCAAGTTTGGGTGGGACTTTTGGCAGGCTCTGAGCTCTAATTCGGTCCATAGAGAATAATCCAGCGGGTTGAGGTCGGGGCTGGAGGAGGGCCATTCGTTCGCCGCAATAAAGGCCGGCACATTTTCCTTCAGCCAAGCTTGGGTGGTTTTAGCCTTATGGGATGGCGCCGAGTCTTGCTGGAAAACCCAATACTTGTTATGGAATAGGGTATTAGACAGGGGTTTCACAACAGTCTCTAGAATGTCACTTTGATAATTTTTGGCTTTCACCTTGACGCCTTGTTGGCAGAAATGAAGCTGAGTGACACCTTCGTACGAAACTCCCCACCATACCATGACACTAGCCGGATGATGAGTACGCGAGATATTCCGTGCTGAAGGTGGGACATCCTTGCTACTTTTGGCATACACTTTACTGTTTTGTCGATTGAACTTTTCTTTGACGGTAAAGATTTTCTCGTCGGTGAAGAGTATCTTCCTCGCATCGTGTCTCCTAACCAGTATTGGACAACGTTCGCGTCGCAATTGACGAAGGCGATCGTTTAAAAAGTGTACTTTTCTACGACTATACGCCTTAACCTTGAGATCATATTTCAGTATTCTGTTGACTGAAACGCGCGAAATATTGGTCTGCAGAGCGAGTTTCTTCTGAGTGCGACATGGATTTCGGCGAAGTCGCTCTCGGATGATTTTAATGTTCGCAGGCGTCCTCACAGAGCGTGGACGACCACTTCTTTGCCGATCATGTAAAGAACTTGTCTCCTGGTATCGTTTAATAGTGTAATACACGAAGTTACGGCTCACACCAAAACTTTTCAGTTCTCGGAAAATGTCCATATGTTTTCTTCCCACCTTAAATAATGAAATGACGGTCTCACGTAGTTCTTTTGTTCCCTCTATTACGAGAAAATTTAAATAAAATAATCCGAAATCATAGATATTAAAAGTTAACATTCCAAATTCAAAATTAGAAAAAGAAATATACAGCAGCCAGTAATTTTTATTTTATTTTTATAAGCAAAAAGTTTGTCTCAAAACTTATGAACACACGAGGTATATTTGCATACACACTTCTACAAGTCGCTTCTGGACAAGTTTTTGGCTATATTCTGGTATCTTCTTTCACCCGAAACGACGATTTTTCTCTCATATGACAACAGAGTAATGGTACGTACCCACATTTTGTTTAAATCTGACATTATGTAGGTAGGTATAGTTACCGGGCCTCCAGAGACACCTGGCGGCGGGCGGGTCCCCGGCGTAGAGCGCCTCGGACCAGCGGCCCGCCAGGCGCAGGCGCGCGCCGCCGACATTATGTAGGTAGGTATAGTTACCGGGCCTCCAGAGACACCTGGCGGCGGGCGGGTCCCCGGCGTAGAGCGCCTCGGACCAGCGGCCCGCCAGGCGCAGGCGCGCGCCGCCGACATTATAGGTAGGTATAGTTACCGGGCCTCCAGAGACACCTGGCGGCGGGCGGGTCCCCGGCGTAGAGCGCCTCGGACCAGCGGCCCGCCAGGCGCAGGCGCGCGCCGCCGACATTATGTAGGTAGGTATAGTTACCGGGCCTCCAGAGACACCTGGCGGCGGGCGGGTCCCCGGCGTAGAGCGCCTCGGACCAGCGGCCCGCCAGGCGCAGGCGCGCGCCGCCGACATTATGTAGGTAGGTATAGTTACCGGGCCTCCAGAGACACCTGGCGGCGGGCGGGTCCCCGGCGTAGAGCGCCTCGGACCAGCGGCCCGCCAGGCGCAGGCGCGCGCCGCCGACATTATGTAGGTAGGTATAGTTACCGGGCCTCCAGAGACACCTGGCGGCGGGCGGGTCCCCGGCGTAGAGCGCCTCGGACCAGCGGCCCGCCAGGCGCAGGCGCGCGCCGCCGACATTATGTAGGTAGGTATAGTTACCGGGCCTCCAGAGACACCTGGCGGCGGGCGGGTCCCCGGCGTAGAGCGCCTCGGACCAGCGGCCCGCCAGGCGCAGGCGCGCGCCGCCGACATTATGTAGGTAGGTATAGTTACCGGGCCTCCAGAGACACCTGGCGGCGGGCGGGTCCCCGGCGTAGAGCGCCTCGGACCAGCGGCCCGCCAGGCGCAGGCGCGCGCCGCCGCCCTGTACCGCGCCGCGGACCTCGTGCCGACTACTGGACCACGAACTGGCCTGCACCATACGACAACACGTTCATTTAATAACACGACTTACTGAAGTCATTTAAGGCTACATTGTCAAAGATTATGGACCCCGGTCGTGCTTGAAACTAGTCGAGTTCAGTTACATGTATGATCTATGAAAACTGGCCTGTGAGTGAAGTTACTACTTCACTCACAGGCCAGTTTTTCTGTGAGGCCGTGGTATTTCTCCGCTCGAACATGAAGCAAAACATAAAATTCGGCCGAAAGCCACTATCATAGGGGGTGAATTGCAAGGGACAGAAACTTGAAATAAATAAGTGTACCTTAATAAAGTTGAGTTTGCACGTGATGTCAGTGCCGTGGCATGCGATGTGCATGTCCCCGTACTGGTCCACCCAGCGCTGCCCGCCGAACAAGTTGTGTACGCATGTCGTTACCTATAGTGAAACAAAATTAATGTAATTAACTATTTTATCATCACCATCACGACGCATAAAGACAACGAAATTCGAACTAAACCACTGGATTCTGAAAAAAATCTCTTTTCTAGCACTATTGAACGGAAAGTACATTTAGTTTTTCAGTGTTCACGTTTGTTCTAAGTACAATTTTATGTAGATATAACATTTACGTCTGGGACAGACTTGGATCTTATACGAGTACCGATCAGAGTGCCAAACACGAATAACTATCGCATTCGTATCGTAATAGTATCAAGGGCGTCCGGCGCTCTGATTGGCCGGCTCAAGTGGACCAACGAATCAGAACTCTTAACTCGCTCGATACTGTTACGACATAGTATAAAGAACACAGTAGGTTATCTAAGGCCGCCCGCCGAGTTATTAGCCTACTCTTGCGTTGATCCCCAGGGTTGTCACTTTTACTTTTAGTTAATATTTTCGAACAAGCAGCACTTGATCTAAATTTATGAAATGAAAAGCATATTATGATTGAACATTTTATCAATTTATAAATTTAATAAAAATAAAAAGCTTATAAAAAGATTATTAACTTATTAAAATAAACTTTAGCTCTATACATAGTATTCAGAAAGTAAATTTTGGAATACATTTATATGGAAAAATGCGACACGGCCACGCTCTTAACAAATCAGATAAACTGTGAAATAAACAATACAATACCACATTTTCTTATAATATTTAAGTATAGTAGGTAATTACATTTCTGGTTGAGTAGGAACTATGAAGAATGATAAGAGTAAGAATAAGTAAGTAGGTATCTCATCATCAAGTACCTACAAATTATATTATGCTAGAAAAAGTGACTAGCTTACCTTTCCTGTTCAATAGGTAATCTGAACAGAGACAGTTCTGGAATCGATTAATTATTAAGACACCCAAACACACAGCAATACGTTCTTCTACGGTTATCAGACATTTTTTATTTCATTTAACAGTGCCGAAAAGTAATGCGCCCGCGAACCTCGTGCAGTGTTAGCCCTGCCTGGCGCACTGAGAAACGGGTCGAGATTTTGTTAAAGTGTGCGTGCGTCGACGCATAGATACTATGGCGCACACATATAAGCCGCGCGCGGAGCATTTGTATGAAGATAACCTACTTTGTTTTTTATACTATGGTTACGATACGAATGCGATAGTTATTCGTGCTTGGCACTCTGATGTTTTAAAATTATAGTTCAAGATCAAAATTATAACATATTTCATAAAGAAAATAATATACTACGTTTAAAAAGGCCGACATTTTTTGAAGCGGGTTAATTAATATACTAAAACCTTCTCCTAAGTGTAACAAACACTATCCTGGAAACCGCATCAGAATCGTTTTAGCCAATCGTGATTTAAACGCGCAGAAACATACATAATGGTCAAACTCAGAACCGCCTTTATTTTTTCTTTTTGAAGCCGGTTAAAAAGGATAAAAATATCTCAAACACAAACAAAACTTACCTTATTCCAACTATAATGGTCACCGGTGGAAAGCAACTTGACATGGACTCGCCCTGTGGGCTGGAACTCCATGGACTTGCCCCAGAACTTGGTTTTGATCCTCGCTTCCTGCCAGAAGCACCATCGCGTGGATTCTGCGTGGCATGCAGAGATTGGGGGGTGGTGGGATACCTAAGGAGCATAGATGTTGTTAAACGACTATAAAATAATAATATTTGTGTCTAAAAGTGGATTGACATAAGAAAAATATATTTTTAATTGATGTAAGATTTTTTAAATGTTGCCCCACATTAGGATTTTTCCATGTGTCGCACACAGAACACCCAGACCCGGAACAACACTTTATTGAACACACAAAATGAAATGGGTCAAAATGCGTGTCTCTTAAGCTAAGTTATCAAAACCCTACACATGGCAAATAACAATATAGTAGCCGATTTCTTATTTTAGTTACCGCAAAATATAATTTTAACTGTACTTTCATTAAAAAAATGCTTGAAAATCATGTATATTCATCCAGCATCGTTCCCTAATCAGCTTAATTAATCACAAAATGAGTAAAAGCCCTCAGTTTCAAACATACCTGTTCAGCAATAAACCGGAACCCTTTATCATCGCGCACGCACTCGTACGTCTCAGCCAGTAATGGATTGAACGGCTTGGACGCGGCGCGGTGAGCGGACGACGCATATGCGCTCACTGCAAACGCGGCTATGAGCGCCATACGTTCTATCGGACTCTTGCATTCCGCTGCCGAGTCCAGGAGCTCTGAGTATTCTAGTTCTTCGCATAGTCGCTGGAGAAGAATATTTATATGGTTCATGATAACAATATTAAATAAGTAAATAAATTATCCACTTAATGGATTATTAGCTTAATTCAGTTTGTAGTTAAGTTCAAATTAGATAGGTAAGACAAAAACATGTAGAACATGTAGATGAACTTTTTATTGAGTTTATCTAAATTGAACTAAATAACAGTATTTTACTTAATTCGTTGAAAATTACGGCTTACGTGAACTATTCGAGTAAAGCTCGTCTAGTTTCAAGTTAAACCGGGCCTCATATTCATGTATGTACGGTGTGTGACAAAATGTTATAAACTGTGTGTATTTCAATGTAAATTGTGTGTATTTCAATAAAAAAAAATGTAACAAAATTGTTTTACCTGCAGCATATTAAGCGGCTCATTAATAGTAACAGGCATGGAGATCTGACTTAGATCCTTGCCGATGTTCTTGTAGAGAAGGTTCCAGAGACTGGGCCCCCCGGGCGTGGGCCGCGTGGAGGGCAGGCGCGTCCGCCGCGACCAGCCCGCGGGGGGGCCCGCGTCCGTCGCGCGGAGCGTCACCTGCTCCGCCGACACTACTGGGGATATGTCAATACTACTTATGACGCTGTTTTGTATTGTTTTAAGGTCCAATTTCACCAATTAGTTTTATTATTTTACTCAATGTTGATTAACTCTTTGAGTACCGTCATTATAGACACAATTAAAGAACAATAGGTTGCGGTCACCGGTGTTCTCGCGGTGTTTGACAGTTTAAGGAGTTTTTATGGAGACTTTCTTTATGAGGAGTAATATTTTTTATTTTGTTATACGTTGTTAGATTTTCCATGCAATAATTTTCATGGAAACAAATGAATTAATTATTCATAACACATCGAGAGACCTTATGTTTTGGTAAAATTGGACCTTGTAAATGAGCGAAGATATAAGAAGGGTATGTGAGAATGCTGCATAAAAGAGAGATTCAAGAGAAACGCAACAATACAACGAGATATTGAGAAGATGAGACACAGACATAAAACGGACGACAATGCTTAAACTTAGTAATTGCACTAGGATCAACGCTGAAGACTGTTATTAATGAATGTTCAAATCAGGGACAAAAGTTCAAGCTACATATAAACAGAAAAAATCTTCTAGTCATAGTACCATAGAATTTCAAGACCATGCGCATTAATCCTTGTGTATCTAATTAGTAGTGGAAAATATATTTTAAACAGTAAGTAAATTGACGTTTAAGTAATGAGAACCAGAAGCTGTAGCCAAATGCCATTTAGCGCTTGTATACATGTAATATATAACCAGAATAGAAAACCAAATTATATGGAATTGATGTAAATTTTGACGCTTGTCAGTCTCATCCCTTACATTTAGTTTTCTACTCTCTCTGTAGACAAGCGCTAAAGTGGCGTTTGGCTAAAAACATTGGACGTTTAAGTGTGAGTAACTGGATGTTGAAGCAGTGAGTAACTAGACGTTTGTAGTGAGTAACTGGTCCCTTAAGCAGTTAGAAGCTAGGAGCATGCAAATAGTCTACTGATTGTGTAAACACAGCTAACGTAACTTATATGCATATACAAAGCCGGGTAGGCAGAAGTGCTTGCACATAAAGTATATATAAGTTCGATGTAATACCCACTTTGTTATCTTATGAATCTCACGTGATATGAGGTGAGCATATTGCACTAATTATGCCGGGGCTTAACTCCACTCCAGTGCCAATGTCATTTAAGCGCTTGTCTACCGATAGAATAGAAAACTTAATGTACCGGAATGACACTAGTTATTGTATAAAGTCACGTCAATCTCACATAACATAATATTGCGGCATTTAATGCCACTATACAATGTAACACCCACTTTTCACTATTTATGTTATGAGTCCCATGTAATAGGGAGCCTATTGCCATATACCGGGCACATATCCAGACTCCGTGCTACTACTGAGATTTTTAAAACCCAGTAATACTTTGCCCGACCCGGGAATCGACCCGAGACCCCCTGCCCGGCAGTCGCAGTTGCGACCACTCGGCCAACGAGGAAGTCAATCTCATATTACCTAAATTTTTCTACTCACTCGGTAGACAAGAGCTGAATGGCATTTGGCTTATTGTAGGCCACATTACATGCTACTTGTACTGACTGTTTTGTTTTCTACAATGTGAGAAAGCTATGCTTCTTTCTGCACGAATGATACTACGGCCTCACAGAAAACCGACGTGAAACAACACTTGCGTTGCGTTGTAATAGTCTGTCAGTCAGTCCGTCAGTGAAGCTAGGTGAAGCTAGGCCCCTCTCCCTAGTCTCTCCAATTCCCGAATCCCCCCAATATTTAAATTCCCAATTCCCAAAAGGCCGGTAAGGCACTTGTAACGTCACTGGTGTTCCAGATGTACATTGGTGACGCCGATTGCTTACCATCAGATGATACGACTGCTCGTTTAATTGCTCATCACATAAAACAGTGAGAAAGCTGCGTCTAAAAAGCTAATAACTTACACAGCTGTCCTTGCAAGCGTGGTACAAAGAGTTACTGATTACGACACACAATGTAAACTCACTCGCACCATCAGAGTTGTCGGAGCTGGCTGAGCCTTCTTCGCTGCTCAGCGAACCTGCTTCAGATGAGGAGTCGCCTTCCAGCTCTATCACTCCTGACTGGAAAGAGAGAGTTATTGTGTTATTTACTTTTTTATATAATTATCATAAAAACAAGTATTTTTCAAATATTTTTAGTTCAAATATTTTTTACCCCCGAAGAACACAGAACACATTTATACTCTAAAATATTCCGTGAACATTAATGCTAAGAATATTCGAAAATTTACCTCATCAGCGGCTATGATCTCCGCCGGTTTATGGTCGGAGTCGTGTTCCTCCGCGTCGAAAAACTCGGAGGCCGACACACAGGACGAGCTGTAGCTTAGAGACTGCTGGAACTGACGATTGTTCACCTGCCGAGGATTTATTATTAATCGTGTCAGAAGTGCGGAAATAAGCTTATTTGACTACATTACTACTATTAGACTGCCTCGTTGGCCGAGTGGTCGCAATTGCGACTGCCGGGTAAAGGGTCTCGGGTTCGATTCCCGGGTCGGGCAAAGTATTACTGGGTTTTTAAAAAAATCTCAGTAGTAGCACGGAGTCTGGAACTGTGCCCGGTATATGGCAATAGGCTCACCCCCTATTACATGGGACTCATAACATAAATAGTGAAAGCCCTTCGAGGATAAAAGGCGTGATGTTATGTACTATTAGCTATAATAGCTTGTAATTTTGATTAAATCTGTTTACTAATAAAGATGGAATAACTGCATAGAATCAAATAATTGCAGAATTCGTTATTAGAAAAAAAAATTATGTCAGAAATAAAATGGAATTGTCATCGGGAAAAATCAAGGGATTGTGGTACTGTTACGGACGACAATCACTATTAAAAATAGTACAGTCATTCCTGAGTTATATGCTTACGATCATTAATATTCATTATACATTATATAAGTACAGCGTGGTGATTAACCTCTAGAATGCCGGTATATAGATATTGTAAATACGGTAAAAGTACGGTAAATAGAAAATGCATTGTGTCTCGCGTAGATCTACGGTCCGGCACACGACGGGTTAATGCTCAAACCTTCTCCGTGTGAGAAAAGGCTTTGCTCAGCAGTGGGCATTTATAGGCTGTTGATGATGATGAAGTTTACTTACGGCATCAGAGTTGGGTCCGACGGACGATATCTCAGCGAGGTCGGACGCGTCGTGTATCCTGGACAGGCGGGAGCGAAGCTCTGTTCGAAACACTTCACTCGTCATTATTTACGTTTATCAGTTTAAGACTATATTAGACGCAAACATGTGCGGTGTGTGCCAGGGTGTGTGGTTGTGATCATGCGAAGGTCGTGAACTAAATTAATTATTAATTTGATGTAATACTGAAACATTGGCTGACGAGACCTTTTATAAATTCTTTACAGAACATACACCATGTTTATTCATTTTAGTGAGATTATGTATGCGTTTGAGTGCATCAAATTGTATTTATGAAAGTGCTATTTGTGGAAAAACTGTGAAGATTGTTTGACAAGAATTCCGATTCAATAATTATTTAAACATCATGACAAATAAGGAGTGTTTTTTCGGCGTTGAGCCAGATATTATTGTGAACTAGCGACCCGCCCCGGCTTTGCACAGGTGCAATATACATGTGTTATACACATAAACTTTCCTTAAGAATCACTCTATCTATTAAAACAAACCGCATCAAAATCCGTTACGTAGTTTTAAAGATCTAAGCATACATAGGGACAGAGACGGTGGATAGTGACTTTGTTTTATACTATGTAGTGAATTAGCTCTACAAACAACCTAACCAATCTTTATTACTTTATTACAAGTATTTCTGTCCAAATCTCCAACAACAAGCAATACAATATTTATAACACGTAATGCAGTCTCACCGGAATTCTGTTGTAATGCTGTACTGAGGTTTGTTCGTAACGCCGCCATTACAGCGCCGGGCGTCGAAGCTGTTTCCGCGGCGTCCATTGCCGCTCGGAGACGACCACGCTCGCAGACCTGTGGGGATGAACGGAGAAAAATAAATATTTAAATATCTTTAACAGATTTCAAAAAGAAAATTGGTGTTTCTCAGTTTAAGTATGTATGAATGTATGTATGTATGTTTGTGCTCAATATCTCGCGATTGGCTGAACCGATTTTCATGCGGTTTTCAAAAAAGAGTTTGTTACACTTGGGAGAAGGTTTTAGTATATCAATTAATCGACTTCAGAAAACAGGTTTTTGAAGTCGGTTTGTCGTACTTTATGAAATAATTATTCACCTAAAATAAGTGGTCAATAAAAATGGCGTCAAAAATAAATTGGCTTACAAAACTAAAGTCTAAACTCACCAATGTAGCGACAACAGTCTTCAGATTAGCAACTAGATCCTTAGCTAGCACGGTGAAATCTTCCCTGAGCTGATGGTCAGGAGTGAGGCTGGTGAGGGAAGCAGGTCCTGGAGCCGTTGCTAACGTCTCAGCACCAGGTAGTGACTGGGGCCGAGCTGCTGCACACGCTGTAAGTCAATATAAATGAACGTAAATTAAGGAATGATGTAGTATGATTTGGGGTGATGTGGACCCCTTACTGTTCGCATAGTGATAATATTTAAATTTTTAAAGAATATTTTTTTAACTATAAGAATATTAATTATAATCAGTTTAGCCATAACACGTCCATTGCTGTACATAAACCTACCTCAATGACTTTCGAAATCAACCGTCTAAAAATAGTAAGCTTTGACAATTACTTAACGTTACTTAACAGTTTGACTACCGACAGAAAATTGTTGAAGGTAAATCCTCCGTAATCGTAGCCCATACCTTGTCCCCCATGGCGTTCAAGGTGTTAATATTAACGTAGTTACGTCCAGCAGTGGATGGTAAAGCCAATGCTTAATAGAACAAATTAAAATTATACCAAAATATACTATAATAAAAAATATTATGCGAAAAGAAAGGATCCTGATTGATATTGAATGTTTTCATTTCTTTTGTAGTTGAGATTATGTTTATTTTGATACGTGAATAGCTGTGTGGTGACGCTAAAAAGTTTGAAAAAAACTGTGAAGGTTACTGGCGATGTACAGTCAAAGGGTCAAAAGTCCACTGCCACCATGAGTAATGCTCACACAGCATTGCGCAAGTAATATCATATTAATGTGTATAAAAACGCGTGCGTACGCATAAACACACGCACGCGTACGCACACTGATACAAATATGCGTGTGCGTGTGTGTATAAGCGCTGCAGCGCAACCGATCGTAGTTTTACGGTGGACTTTTGACCTTTGACCGTACACGAGACAGTGGTTGCGCAAATATCTGGTTTTGCGCAAGGTTGTTGCGCACTGCTTTATTTTTGCGCAAAGTGATAGAAGATAGAATTTTGAATACATAAACAGTTGTGTATTGCATAAAGATGCTTGTGATTTTTTGTTGCACAAAATGGTTACTTTTTATATTTCTTCCTGTAAAATGACAGTAAGGTGACCTTAGAATAATATTCAACAGTAAAGCACGTGGTTGCAATGTGATAACTGGTAACCTCTTACATGAATGTTCATAGTAGTACAGACGCCAGTTTCTTTAATAGATTTACGACCTTATAACAGAGACATAAAGCTGAAAATCTATGAAAGAAATATAACTGTACGATGTTGGTGTTTGATATGATATGATCGAAGAGGTACTCTTTTGTTATATTCATAATATTGATATGTGAAGCAAGTCATGCTTAAACAAGGTTCTGAAATGGAGGTGCTTTCTGAATTGCGATGTTGAATATAGCTAGATACGTTATAATATAGGTACTATTAATTATACAATTTATTGTTTGTGTAATATTTTTACCGACTTCAAAAAAAGGAGGAGGTACTATGTTCGGCTGATTGTTTTTTTTTTGTTTGTTCGCGCATTACTCCGCCGTTTGTGAACCGATTTCCAAAATTCTTGTTTTGTTTGAAAGGGTATACTCCCGAGATGGTCTCATTTGCATGAGGTTAGGATCTAATGATGGGATCGTAGGAAAACCGAGTGGAACTTTCGAAAATTGTAGGGGCAAGTAATGCGTCTATTATGTTTTTCAGTTAGGATTTTTAAATATTACAATTTGATACTTAATATTTTTATTACTGCAGTAGTCGGAATAAAAGTTAAAGATTTTCGAAGAGACACCTGGTCACCGAATATTAGTACCAAATACAAGTCCTAGAAGGTATAAAATAGTATATACTTAAAACTAAAACATTACTTTAATTAAACAGTTTAATTTTTTCTCCTACGAATCAATATCTCAATGTAGAAGTCAGATTCAGCAAATATAAATTTAATAGGAGTAATTAATACTACTCTATCTACTTCAGAATTGTTGATACCCTATTTACCATAGGTCACAACCAAAATAATGAAACGCAAAGAAAACTATTCAAAAGAAAGTGATGATGACATCTTTAGAAAACCGGTGATTACGCCTGCACTAAATATTCATTTATGACAACGAGTTATCAACACTACTTCGAACTTTAACTAAATAAGATGAAAATAAAACAAAAAAACTCACATTTTCGATACACTTCCTCTCTTAGAACTTGAATAATGTACTTGAACACAGTTCTAGCATAGAAAACTAACAAACCATCACTGTCTTTTCCCATATTTCAAACTTAATACTATTGACTAAAATCGTCAAATAAAACTCACTATAATGAACAATTTTTAGCACAAAACACTATATTTTTGATTCTCTTAAGTATTATTATTGGAATTTATAGTATAAGAGTAAAATTTCATTGTTTGATTCACGGAAAATACTGGCATATCAAGACTTGAGTCATTATGCCCGCCCGAGGACATGTTCGAGCAAAATTATACTCTAAACTGTTAAGGTAAAGTTTATTTTGCTTTATGTTGACAATGTACTGAGATGTTGTAGGTACATTAGATAATACAAGATTCTGTTTATCTTTGATAAAGGATTCTGTGAGATAATGTTAAGGTTATTGGAGACTCGTGTTGATTTCCAACCTTATTGAGTGGAAAATACAGTTGACATTTAATATGCTATTTTAAATGAGATAAAAATTGATTTGCGATTTGTTTTGTTTGATCCGATTTCTTCTCGATTAATCTTTAGCTACGTAACAAAGAGACCTACATTTTGTAGTAGACGAAAAGAAGATATAAATAGATTTAGAATGTTTACGAAATTGCAGAAAATCTCTCTTGAATCTCTAATTTCAATGTAAGTATGAATAAAAAAGTTAATTAATAAGAAAAACTAACTTTACCGACAATATTTTCCTAAGAGGATATTTTTTCAAACACATTATCCACATAATGAGACATGCCTAACTCCTTTTTCATTTCAGATACAAAAATACATATTTTAATAGCTTTGCCAGCTAAGACCATGCACTATAATAAAAATTAGCGTAGTGAGCGTTCATATATACAAATGCGATGCGTTCGAGAAGGAACAGGGGATAAAACGTAAAATAAAAAGTCTTACGAACTAAAGTGGATGCCAGAAATGTTGATAGAAAAGCTGTAACGGAAAAAAGAAGAGGTATTTAATATATCTTTCGTTGGTAAGAGAGCCGTGCGTTTATTGGAATGACTGGTCAAAGATTTGTGTACGGTTTTTAAGGCAGTTAAAGTGTAAAATACACTTTAGAGCACAAAAACGGGACCACTAGCGTTTTTTGCATTTCACCGAAATTTAATAAGTGAAAAAAAAATATTCCTTTTTATAATAAAATGTTCTCATTTAAAGGTAACTTAAATTGCCTAATATATGAAATACTTACGTCACCAATTAATAATATACTGGTATCAGAAAATATTTAATACTAGCTACTTCCGCGCGGTTTCACTAGCTCTGCTCGGCGCCTATTAATCGTAGCGTGATATTTTATAGCCTATAGCCTTCCTCGATAAATGGGCTATCCAACACAGAAATAATTTTTCAAATCGGACCAGTAGTTTCGGAGATTAGAGCGTTCAAATAAACACAAAAACAAACTCTTCAGCTTTATAATATTAGTATTAGTATAGATATAATGAAAAAGAAAAAACCCACGTTTCTTTGGTCTAAAGTGTAATTAATACAGTAAAGTATCATGATACATTTACAGTCTTTAGTAGCAGAAACTATTAGATGAAAAAAAAACCGTTTGTATCATCGTCAAATCAGCAAAAAGAACTCTTGAACATGGGCTTCTCTCAATGACTTCTAAATCGACCGGTTGGACGTTTAGGACGCCGATTCATGCAGGTGACTCTAGCAACTCCATGCGACCTTCACCCCGTCGTTTGACCCCCTTGTTGATATTGCGTTACGTGCGTTTTTGTCAACAAAGTAATTTTTACTTATGGTACACACGGCCACACATCAATATATACAAAACCAGTTTATCCTGGTGTCGCGTCGGATCATCTTTCCGCACAGCTCGATGTGTAGCCGTGTGTATTATTGACATACCTACCATTATAAGAATTTTAGACAACCTAAAAACTCGTACATTATCTTATCCAGCCATTCTGTCATACCGAGTGCATTTTTGGCGCAAGAATTAAAAATACACCCAGTATAAAACGCACTTATAAGACTAATGATTATAGAATTACAATAGCAGTTACCACGACATGAAATGAAAGAAAGTTAATATTTAGTTTTGTTAGAAAATATCAATCAAATAAGGCATCTGCTTAAATGGTTGACATATGAATGTGTATCTATGAGAGCTATGTGGAAGATCAAATATATAGCTTCAAATGAAGTAGATCGCACTTACTCACATCGAGTCAGCTCAACTCAACTAGTCTCAAGACACGCAGGGGCCCATAATCATGAGAAGTGGAAACTAGTCGAGTAAACTTGTCGAACAGTTACGTGAGCAAGCCGTTTGACATAAATAATTGAATGTAGTTTGATAGTTTTAATATTAAATTGCTTCAAATGACTTGATTAGTTTGTAGAAGTCAATATAAAATGATAGAACAGCTGGAAAACTTTCTTAGAAGACCTTCCATGTACTGGTATTTCTTCGTCGCTTTCTCGTGGCATTAAATTATGAACTTAAAATATTATTCCACTTAGGTTTTATTTCAATGGCCCTTATGAAACTGGTAGAATAGTCAATTTGATCTTCAAAATAAAGTTATAGATGACCTTATAAAAAGGTAATTCTTAACTCTACCTATTTTAACAATTATTTTAGTTTACAAGGCTTCTTGTATAGTAATTAATATTATTGTATGAACAGAGATGACATGCTTAGCACCAACTCTACAAGAGTTTGACATGCCTAGCCAAATGTCAATGTCAAATGTCACGTGCAAGTGATTGGCGCCATTTTGATTTCTTTTTTTTTCAGAGCCATGCCAAGGCGGCGCATCATAATGCCAAAACTTACCGATTTCATAAAATCCTTGCAAAGACATAAGTTTTATAAAATAATTATTTGATTGATTGCTAAAAAAAATCAAAACGAAATTTTTATTCGAACATTTTACTTGACAGTATAAATTAATATAAAACAAAACATGATTTGTAGTTAATAAATGTAAATTGTTAGTAAATGTTAATTCTCTTGGTGTTCGGTTTGGGAGGAGCGAGGAGGGGTTTGTAGGGGGGCCTAGAAACAAAATATCTAATCACATATACAGTTAATTCTTTAAGGATATGTAAAGTAAATACCTACTTTCTTATGCAATTATAAGTATGGCTGGTTCTTATTATTATTAGCTGGATTTAAAAAGGCAAAAGTTCTTCTTCGCCAGCATTTATCCACTGCTGCACATAAGCCTCTCTAACACCATGACAAAACATATAAACGCTTAAAAATATATGGAAAAATACATTCATTGAGATATATTTCACTTATTTTTACTGTACATATCCCCAAACAATAGCATGAATAAGCGGCTAACACACTTGCTAACATTTAGAATAATATTAATATCATATAAATAAATAGTACATAGTACACGCTCACCTATGGGCAGGGAGGCGGCGGAGTTGGGCACTGACGACGCACCGCCGCCAGGAGAGGGGGGCGCTGTTAGCGCTGATAAAGCCTAGGGAAAATATAACGTAATATATATGATCTATTTAAAAAAATAAGTAAATAGTACATGGATAAAATCGTATTGTATAATTTTATAGAGAACTAGCTACTTCCGCGCGGTTTCACACGCTCTGCTCAGCTCCTATTGGTCGTAGCGTGATATTTTATAGCCTATAGCCATCCTCGATAAATGCGCTATCCAACACAAAAAGAATTATTCAAATCAGACACAGGTCTGATTTGAATAACTACAGAGTTACGGAGATTAGCGCGTTCAAACAAACAAACAAAAAAACAAACTCTTTCGCTTTATATAATAGTATAAGATTTCATTCATTCTAATGGTGCCTACCGTATTTTAGCTCACCACACCAGGGGGCACTAGTGTGCTACTATGAACCTCTCGTTCATCGTCCAATAGGGAATGAGCTAGTGTCACCTCACTGAACGTTCAATATTTGACAGATGCAGCGATTGGACAAAAAATATCTTGCTACAGTTACGCCACTTAGTGAGCACAAAAACGGTATCCCCCATTTCAGATCTTGGTGTTATTATGGTGTTATTTTTCTTTTTGGTTATATTTGTTGACTGTGAGACAATGCCTAAGGCATTAAGTCCACCTGTACAATTGGTACTGTACTAAGTCTTAAATAAATAAATGTGTTCTGTGTTCTCTATATTTAGTTCTACAAATTGTTCTTCTGCATGTGATCCAGAATAACAATTCTGTAGTCTACACAAGTCCCTTGCGAATATCTAAACTTTTTAAATCTTCTTTTGTTGAAGTTTGCCATAACCTACGTATTATAAACTTGAGAATCTCACTTACCTCACCGAAAATTCCTACCAATGACTTATCATATTGAGGCCGTTGCTCTGCAGCTGTAGCCAAATACCACTTAGCGCTTGTCTACATGTAGAATAGAAAATCAAATTATAACCCATATAATTTGCAATTTAGCAATTTATTGCTTTGTATTGCACGAGCAATTTATTGCTCGTTGTAAATTGACGTAAATACTGCCTTGTTGGCCGAATGGTTGCAAGTGCAACTGCCGGGCAAGACGTCTCGGGTTCGGTTCCCGGGTCGGGCAAAGTATTACTGGATTTAAAAAAAAATCTCAGTAGTAGCACGGAGTCTGGAATTGTACCCGATATATGGCAATAGGCTCACCCCATATTACATATGACTCATAACATAAATAATGAAAAGTGGTGTTACATTGTACAGTGGCATAATGTGCACCTCTGCCTACCCCTTCGGGAATAAAATGTGTGATGTTATGTTATGTTATATGTGATGTAAATTTTGGCATTTCGTTTTCTACTCTCTCTGTAGACAAGCGCTAAAGTAAGCAAGCGTTTAACTAAAGGCACTGTAGACCGAAAACAAATAATAATTTCAAACTTACCATATGTGAACTGGACGGGTCTATGTGAGAAGCTTGTAGTTCGACGGAGGCACACTTGCTGTTCGACTTCTTCTTCCTCAAGCCGAACTTGCGGCGATCCTTCTTAACGTTAGGCGAAGCGCCTTCCAGAGATACCTGGAGATTATAACATCAGTGGATATTATTAAGAAGATATAGGCAGCACATAAAACACTAATAGCAGGTTAGAATTGTTTATAGCTGAAAATGAAAACATAAGGCCTTTTCCGGTCTTCATTCGTTCCACTACGATTAAGGCCTGATCTCAATAGGGCAATCCGCAAAAGTTGTTAAAACCATCATAGAAAATTCACCAGTAAATCGACCCCAGAAGCCCTACAAACTTATTACAATAATGAGTCAACTACTACATAACAAAAATATAGGTACTAACATCATAAAACAAGTACAAGAACGCAAGAGCAACACATCTAGAAGACAATTACGTTCTAACTTGCACTATCACCGCTTTTTACAACAACACGGACCTGCAAATTGTGTCAAAATATTAATAATAATAATCCTCCATGCCGGTTTCGGCTACGGTAAATACATAATATGTAACATATTATGTTAAATATTAATAAATAGAACGGGGGATACATGTTAAAGACAGGCCGCAGGCCTATGGACCTCTACATATGAGGGTCTACTATCATCTCCACACTTTTTTTATTGGATAAGCCGGTAAACGAGCAGACGGATCACCTGATGATAAGCAATCAGCGCCGCCCATGGACACCCGGAACACCAGAAAGACGTTATAAGTACGTACTTATAACGTCTTTCTAATCCCCAAAAGGCCGGTAACGTTACCGGCCTTTTGGGGATTAGAAATTTGAGGGTTGTTGGGGATTAAGGATTCCCTTCCCCATAAGGGGGGAGGGAGTAATTGGGCTTCCGGTAACCTCACGAAACACAACACAAGCGTTGTTTCACGTCGGTTTTCTGTGAAGCCGTGGTATCACTCCGGTCGAGCCGGCCCATTCGTGCCGAGGCATGGCTCTCCCACACTTAAAGACACGTGGCAGCGACGAGTATAGAATATGTTAAGAATGATGTGAAGACGTGTGACTACTAAATGATAAGTTAAAAATAAATAAAATGAGGAAAATGGACTCAGCCAGTGACTTGCAATAATGAGAAACAAAAGTGCATCACCATTTATTTCAATCCAATTATTATTTCATCCACAAAATTAGTTCAACTCGTGAAATGAAGATCATAATTGGGTAGGTACTAAGATGGAAATAGGCTGACCTTGGGACCATTCTGAAAAAAAAAATGTAACTCTCCTGACATAGTCGAATAAAAAGGTTAAGGGTCTGTTTCACAATATCTGGTTAGCCGCTATCTACCAGATAAAATTGAATTAAGAACGTAAGTTGTATGTCACATAAGTTTATCAGGTAGTTATAAGGAGGTAGTGAAACTGGCGTTAAGTGCAGAATATTCATAACTGTGTGTGTCGGAAAGGAAACCACATAGTAAAGTTTGAATGAAAGAGGTTGTGCTTTTGCGCTTATGAAACGGCTCGGCACGGCTTTAGCACGACACCGGCACGGTGTTTTTTGCCTCGGACACAATACAAAAAGGTTGTAAGCGCTTTTTTATATTTACGTTATGAAATATGTCATATTGAATAGGATTTAAAGTTCACATTTAATTGACAAGTTAATTGCTGGGTTGGTTGCCATACCGGAGCCGTGCTGTTAGGTGTGCGATAAGCTTGAGGCTGTAAACAGCCCCAATGCTAAGCAAAGGCATCTTCTTTTAGGGAACGTAGTTAGGGGGATCCCTAATTGAGCACTGCCTCTTCTAGTCGTGGGGTGCAGGGGGTTGAGAGAAACAACGGTGTTCGGATACCGGATATATTCACGTAAACCCCCAGATAGAACCGTTCACTCGGACCAGTGCGCAGTAACTGTCCGTGCCTCGCATACTTCACGCTCACACAAGTATTTGCTTGCCTTGCACTCTGCCATACATACTTACATGTGTCCCTACATTCTCATACAGAAAAGGACTAAGAATTGACACAAATCTAGAGCGAAGCAAATTAAATCTAGAGCGAAGCAAATTTTCAGACAAGGGTAGACTTAATCTATAATGGCATCTGCTACCAGTCCATTTCAGGTTGAGACAGCACAAGTGTTACACTGGGATGCACACAATCACGATATTTACAGACATTGCTAGATATATTAACAAGGTTATTACTTACATCAGTATCATGATGGAGCTGCTGCTGCAACTCCAGCGCGTCGAGCAACCTCTGCAGCTGCTGCACGGACAGCTGCGCCTGGCCCAACTCGCGGGACGCGTTCTCCAGCGGACCACCAGACTCTGAGGATTGATACAAATACAATTTTAATGATATGATTCTTTGAAGGATCACAGTGAATTAATGAAGGTACATTTTTAGGACGGTAAACTTAGGTCAATTAATTTTGGCATCTTAATATTTTGTACTAGGCTGTGGATAAACTTTGTTTGTGTAACGATTTTAAGTTACAAGGTGAGTCCTTATTTACTTATTAAGTATGTTTGTATATTTTTGCTTGTTTAAAGAAGTCTGTCGCTGAAAGTAAAAGGTCCATTTTACATTCCTATTCTTTAAGATTTATACTAATAACTAAATAAAATCAGTACATAAATCAGCCGTCTATAGCTTTTCTAGCATCACCTCAATTGTACCATGCTATTTATTATTACACATGCCAACTAGCCAATCTTTGAGCTAACAAAGAAAAACATACCTATGTATCTATAATTTACGCTTTACAATAGCATGCGATTTACTATGACCATGCCGTAAACATATAGCATAGTTGTAACATTAGATATACACGGCCACACATCAATCTATACAAAACCAGTTTATCCTGGTGTCGCGTCGCATCATCTTTCCGCACATTTAACGTTCAGTTTATACTGGTTATGTAAAGCTCGATGTGTAGCCGTATGTACCTACAAAAACTTTAAAAGCATTTTGTTTATTTGTAAAAGCGAAGTAAGATTTATTTTGTAACTAAATAAATAAAACGAAATTATACGGTTACGAATACGATTGAGAAAACCGAGAATTTTTTTGAATTCTGTTTTGACAAAATTACAATATTATCACAAAAAACACAACCTGTATTTACAGCATATAAAGCTAACATAATAATTATTCTGAGTAGGAGCTAATTAATCATTCACCAGTCAAGTTCTGAAGTTAATAATTTTGTTGTACCAAAGTTTACTTATAAAGAAAACACAACTTCAGTTATTCTATGTCTAAGCTAACATTTCATCCTTGTTTATGCTTATCTATTTATGTTCTATGGTTTTATTATTTAAGCTATGTAGGTACACGTTTTTGAGTCATTTAGTGAGTTGTGAGAGACTGTCTAAAAATGGTACAGTAGGTATAGGCTACATTCGGTTCGGAAATTACGAGATGATTTTTTTTATATTTGATGGGCCGACAACTGGCCACTATCTCGCCTGGTGGTAAGCGATGATGCAGTCTACGATGGAGCACGTCGTCCCATAAGCAACCTATTTATTCAGGCCTATAATTATATTGTAAATTGTACCTACTTAATTGAATGTTTCACCAAATAAAGAAGGTGTCGTGTTGATATCTTTGATTTAATCTAAATTATTTATAGGAGATTAAACTGAACTGACTCAAACATTGTTAATTACGCAAATATTTAATGTCTATACAGTAAATAAAAAAGCACGAACAGTAATTTGAAAATAATATTGTTTAATATGTCATAAAAGCCAAATTAAAAAGCGATTTTAGTAATCCTTCACCAAAATACAAAGACCTTCTTCCAGGTCCAATACAAAATTATTAGAGGACCATTTCAAAATGGGTGTATGATTGAAAAATCTAGGGTAACATACCTATGATCCAGCCGGAGAGGCGTCCTCCTGGGGTGCCTGACACGAACCCCGCTTGGGGGCCTCTGATGGGCCCGCCGGTGGGGCTCAACAGCCCTACGGACCAAACAAGTCAATGTGGAGGACAGGGGTGCAAGCATTTTGGAAACATATCGTGCAAAACAAGCAGAAACATGAAGTACCTAACTACATTGTAATTTGAACGAATATTTATTACTTAAGTACTTTAATAGGGTAGTTTCCTAAATTTTATTTTAATGTCCGTCTAGTACATTAATTAAAAACTTTAGACACGTATTTTTTCTTCGACGATAATATTATATTAATTTGAAATATCGTGTGACGTCAAAGCGTGTCACATTTTGTAGCACGTTATGACGTAACGACCTCCCACTCCTAAACTTAGCGCCTTTTTATCTAAGTATTGCGAATTACGGGAAAATAAAAAAATACGTATCTAATATTTTTTCATTATCTAACTGACGGACTAATTAGATTTTTAATTTTGATACCCTGGAAACTACTCAATTCTTAGAAACCCTTATTTTTCATATAAATTTTGAGTATTCGTTATTTATTGTCTGCAGTCTTCTGCTTTCAAGACGGTTATTTTGTCAAACTAAATAGATTGGATAACTTATGATTTTTGTATCATACATACAATCATATACAAAAAAAAATAAAAAAGAAACATGTCCTTTATGTAATTTTAAATCCGAACTATTCTATAAACCTAGATTACAAATGAAACACAGCAAGGATGATTGGAGGAGAGAGAAAAAAAGGAAGTGAATGGAGAAAATGATATGGATGATAGGAGTAAATAGCATTGTTCTCACATAATTGAACCCACAATACTATGTAACTGAATATTGTATTGTGAACCTGATTGGAAAAGAGTGACCTATGGAGTTTCTTGCTCGTTCTTTTACATAGGAATCTACACCATGGAATGCTAGCTTCACTTAGTTTGTGTTGACGTTCAAAAGTGCCTTCATAGTCTAATTGAAATGAATGATTTTGACTTTGACTTTGAAATAATGATAGAAAGAGAAGGAAATATGAATATCTATATTATCTACATTTAAGACAGCAACATTTATGGATACATTAATTACGCGTGAATCACGGCAGAGGGCGCGTTGGGCCGTTCCGCAGCAGACTCGAATAGCAAGTAACAGCGCGACAGTCGCCGCGTCGCTTGTCGCGAAATGCTTCTAGAAACCATGCTGGAATATGAGCTTCTAGCATGGCTTTTTTTTTCAAGGGGGGAAAGTCGAATGATTGCTCCCGCCTGGGTGAGGCGGGAGGGCGTGTCAGACTCTTACTGACTAAAAACCACCCCGTTCCTTCTCCTGCTCGTCGAGCCGGATCCCCGGTTACCCGTTAGGTTCTCCGCGACAGCCTCTAGCATGGCTTGAAACTAGTCGAGTTGCTCGTTAGACAATTACGTGAGTAAGCCCAAAATATATAATAATTAATTTACGTTTAATTAAGTCCAAAAAGTTTCCATTACCTACCAGATACGTAGATTTAAAAATAATGCGAATAAGTAAATATCTCTTATACAATTCTATAAATACAATAAAAGAAGGTGCAAGAGTCCATATTTTTGATAGTTATCCTTATCTCTACCGTAATAAGTATCATTTTAGTGATAACAAAATATTTGACGATTATTATTTTAGTGACTAATTTGTGATAATGACTATGTTGTGGGTTTTCCCTTATTTAAAAACATTGATCATGTAATAAAAAAATATTGTTTTTAGTAACATAATAGTTTGAAATTAAATTGTTGCTGTATTTTATAGTAAAACCAACAAAACAGAGGTGTACATTATGCCACTGTACAATGTAACACCCACTTTTCACTATTTATGTTATGAGTCCCATGTAATAGGGGGTGAGCATATTGCCATATACCGGGCACAATTCCAGACTCCGTGCTACTACTGAGGTTTTTTAAAAACCTAGTAATATTTTGCCCGACCCGGGAATCGAACCCGAGACCCCTTGCCCGGCAGTCGCACTTGCGACCACTCGGCCAACGAGGCAGTATAGTAAAACCTTTAGCCTTTAATTTCCCAATTTCATATGTACTTGCAAGGACATTAGAATATAGGGTGGGCACAGTCTATTGAAACAACGACTGTGGCATCTGGCTGTATGTATGATATTAATTTTTGTTCACCTTTTGGTCTCGGATTGAAAAACCTTACAATTCTAAATTTCAAAATCCTTTCAGTATTGTGATACAAAAATATAACTATAAGTTAATGTCAATAAAGCTGACAATTGCTTGATACTACGGAATGGTAATGAATCATCGACCTATTGGCATCTAAGGTCTTATAAGAGCTAATTATTGTAAACAATACTAGACGAAACACATAATCATGCAAATACTTGCAAAAACAATAAAACTGATGGAAAAATCCAACATTTCTATTAATAAACTATTGTTACTAACGAATCTATGCCAAGACAATCTGCGTACCTACTCATAATTCTATAAGCTACAGGAAAAAGAACTCCAACACCATTACGATAAGTTTCAAAATACAATCTACTTCTAAAAGACAAGACTTTACACAAAAATGAACACTAACGTATTTAAATAAGTATCAAAATTCAATTTAGTTTAGAAAGATGAGTTACACTACTCTACAAATACATCAAATTACCTCAACTGGTCAAATGATTTTCAACCTTATTACAAAACATAATAAAGTAGAAAATCTATCAACAGACATGGATAGCTTGAAGTGAATTATTACAATTTTTAACTAACCAGAGCAGTATGAAGGATCACTAGAACGTCGATATAAGGTTTTCATTTCATCGCTGGGGTTCACTTCCACGTTGGAGTCAGTCACTGAACTCGCTCGAGTAACATTGTACTTCTTACTATAAAATAACTGGTATACTTTAAAATCTTTCTCCAACCACTTCTCTCTAACAAAACGCATCAACCGCCTATCCGTCTGCGATTGAGTTGAAACTTTAAACGAAGGCGATAAAAGCGCGATTTCTTTGATCAAATCTTGCCGCAATTTTGACGAATTCTTCTTCTTTTTAGTTACATTATTATGTTCTCTGCATGTAGCGTTTGTACTGGAAGTGATTTTCGCTTCTGGATCTAACACACGTTTGATCAGAGTAGTCATTGAGCACTCTTTAGTAATTTTGTGAACCCATTGCTGACTAGGACTTGCATGTTCAGTTGTTTTCTTATCAATTTCTAGTTTAATTTTATGTATCGAGTGGACTTTTACCAAGTTCGCGGCAAGTGAAGTGTCGCCCAAGGAAGGTCCGTGATCGTAGCAAATCATTAGTTCATCGTAATCACTCTTTGTCTGAACTTCAGAATTCATCACGAGCTGCAAATTAACAGCGCTTATGTTCGCATCTTTAAGGTTTAAATTAGTGCTGCTACATGTGTTTATTGCTTTTTCTGTGATGGAAACGTCATCGCCTATCGGAAAGCAAGTGACGGCATCCCATTGCGTTGCCGCCTCCTTCCTACACGCCCCGCTCTCTGAATCCTCGTTATAAATCTTACCTAACAAACTCAACCCGTATATATTACCACAATTCTTTAAAATCTTCTCATGCTTCTTTCTTAATTTCATGAATAAATTATTGATATCCTTATGCAAACTGGGTATATTTTTCGACAATAGTGATAAATTTTCTAAAAGTAATAGTATGAATTTCTCATCGATCACCCTTGGGGCTGGTTGCTCGAAGACAGATAATTCTGGTTGCTTAGTCGGAGAGTGACATGGTGAACGTCTTTTTGATATTCCATTATAGTCTTTAAGCCTAACCTTTTTTTTGGGCTGAAATTTTGTAGATTCCTTGTTGAAGGACATGATGTAGCAAGATGTGTTTTCGTTCTCAAAAGACGGCCTTGGATCTAACCCTCTTAGAAAGGAGTTATTACTGCTCTTAAATGACAGGTCTAGGGAATGTTCGCTCTCGTGGACAATTTTGTAAGCTTTCGACGTCGCGTCACTACTACTCGAGTAGGGTTTCAAATCAAACTCTTTAGGGAAATCCATGTAGGTATCTGGACTTTTACTCCTCTTCTGAAATATCTCATTGGAGTTTGTGCTTTGGATGTACTTCCGCCAATTTTCTTTCAATTCTTTCTGTAATTCTGTCTTTACGCGTTCAGAGTCTGCGAATTGTAGACTTAAGTGTGCGTGTTTATTATCGACTACTGTCGGAGGTTTCTCCTTAAGTTTTATGGAAATTGACATGATCCCTTGCAAATTAGGGTCACTGTACATCGATATATGTTCCAGATCATACTTAGAGAGGTCGATCACCACTGAATTATCGTCATTATTCTCATAGATAAGGTTTTTGCCAGGATACTCCTTGACAGGCCTTCCCAACTCATCCTTACGTTCTGGCTGTTTTAAGTCATCTTTGACATTGTCATGTGACTTCTCATTCGTGTCCTCCATCCACGTCGTGTCCTCCATCTTCTTTACTTTAGAAAATATTGTTGTTATTCTTTCTAACAACTCTTTGAGGTACAGTTGGCCTGGATCTATAGTTTTTAAGACCTCAGCGGACTTTGGTTTCGATACCTCCGTGTCTTTTAACGTAGTGACGCTCTTTGAGGCTGTTTTAGTGACGGCCTCCGTCTGTACTTGACACGAGAGTTCTCTAGAGCCTTTGGAAGTCACTGAATGTTCACTGGACTGTGAACTGGTTTCCGAAAGGCTTTTGTAATCTTCTTTAAGTAAAACGTCTAAATACGCACTAAAGAACTCCTTAGCAACATCAGGAGATATTGAAGTATCACTTATAAGATGGTTCAAAGTCTTCTGTATTTTTTCCGTAGAAGAATTTGAATTCTCGTTGGGGATTTCGGTCGAGGTATTCTCTTCCATCTTTGGAGAGAGTTTACCAATATTATCGATCAGAGTTTTAGTTGTTTTAATATCTCGCTGTTGGTTACTTCTTGTCGTTTCACACATGTACACCGTGTTTTTGAGTAACCGTTCCAGCTCTTGTATTCTTCTTTCTTTCTCGAAACTCTCCGTGTCTCTTCTCGGGCTGGGGCTTTTGGGAGGTCTGTCTGGAGCTTTCGTCACAGGTTTTGTGGTATTCGGTTTCTTTTTGTACTGAAACAGCATTTCACTGAGTCCGTGAAACTGTGTTTGTTTTGACACGTGACCAATATAAACACTTGACAGGTTCTCGTCTTTTGTGAAGTATTTATTTGATTGTCTGTCTATAGAGCGACTGTGCCTCATTGCTGTTTTGACTGGTTCTACGGTGGTATTTTTCAACCAGTATTCTAACAAGCTCCTAAATAGTGCTTTCACTGGATGTACCTCTTGAAACTTGACGTCATATAAGTCTTTTATCACTTGTTGGATATAGACTTTTACGTCAGTGACAGTGGTGTTTTTGGCATTCTCGAATATAGACACCATGAGTCGTTCCGTGATGTTATCATAGTCTGATGTCGTCATGGAATCCTGTAGCGCCTTATTCTCTATAATAGTCACTTGGACTTCATTGCTCTCTGTTTGAACAGTCTCACAAGCCACGTTGCGGTCTGTATTCTTCTCGGAATTATCTAACTTCTCACTATCAGAATTTTTCTCAGTATTCATTTTGTATTTGCCAAGTAACATGCATTTACTTAGTGGTCTCCTTAAAGTAGGCTCTTCAAAAAAGTTCTTATATTTGACCAAATTCGTAGATTTCTTACTCCTTTTCATTGGCGAATTGATAATTGAGGACCGTGATTTATTTCGTGTGAAGAAGTAGTATGCTGCGGTAGGTTCGATCTTATTCTCTAGAAATGGTGACGTTTGCCTTTGCGCTTTGACTTCATCTTCTAAGACAGTTTCTATTGTTTTAATAGAATTAATATCCAAGTCTGTACTATGTATTTGTTTCTCTGCTTCGGTGCTACCTAATGAGATGTTTGGAGACTTTTTTCTTTGTAACTTGTCTTTAGTGAATCTGGCGACACAGTTCATAGAACATAAACTTCTATGGTTATTAAAGAGTTTTTCATTGAAGTGATTTTCGCATATTTTCGTGGCTGGGGGGTTATATTCTTTTTCTTCGTCTATTGGGGGCGAGAATGAGATGGGACTGTAGTAGTTATAGGAACTGTTAAGTAAGTCATCTGGGGATAGTTCTTTCTTCCTGGGGAATGGGGAGTCGTCGCTGGAGCCCGAGGAAGTATCCAGGCTTTCGTGGGAGGTACCTTTGGGAGGGGAGGGGATTATGAGTAGAGGATTAAAGAGTGGGATATTGATATGAAGGTGATTGTAGTCCTATTTAAACTTTAATGCTAGAAGATTGTTATTTGAGAGAATTTATGTGCTATAGTCTCTTATTCCGTTCTTCGTGAACGGAATGATGATGACGGAATATTTGCATGATTTTAATTCTATAGTTTGGCCAAAACACCCTAAGAGAAAATATACTTTCCACATGAATTTACTACAAGCAAAACGAATTCACACGCTGATCTAAAAGTCAAACACCTCTACAAAAAACCCCACAAAAATCAAGCTAAATATCTAAGAAACATTTTTGAAAAATCTATACTATCTTGTGCATGCGTTATAGCAAATAATACTATAATTATAGAATGGTATTATCAATAATAATATTACTTACGAGAAGAATTGTCTGTGGGTGGTAGATCTTCTAATGGCGCGTGGATCTTCGGTACCGACTCCCGCGCACCGAATGTTAGCAAATGTTGTCGGTATAACCTGTGTATTTAAAAATATCTGTATCATTAGTCAAGTTAGTGTTTAAAGTAATATGTATTAATAGAAATATAAGTTTTGATTTAACATTAGTCAATATTTACTTTTAACCCAAAGGTTGGCTGGGAGAAAATGCCATATGGCATTAAGTCCGCCTTATGTACCTTATTTTGTGTGCATTAAAGTGTAAAATAATAAATAATAATAATAATATTTGTTATTAATTAGTGTCTGGTGTTTAGCAATTAGTAAACTTTTAATGAGTATTACCAATCACAGATGAATAACAGAAATTAACAGGAGTAACGTTTTGCACATTGAATGCGTAAGTCAAGTAAAAAGTAGCACAAATCCTGTTAGTTTCGATGGCAAAACGTCGAGACTTTGACAAAAAAAATTGGAACATTCATATAAATTCCTAAATATTACAAACAGTAAACAGATTTCGTAAACCTTGCATAGTTTGCTTGCAAAAAGAGTCCTAAAAAAAAAAACAATTAAAGTAATACAAACCTATGAGCCTTCAGCACATTAAGCCAGGTCCGGAAGACATCAGGAGTCTTCGCTCTGAGGTGGTATATGAACTCATCAGCATCAATGTCTATACGCCTCCGTCTAGCCTTGGCTGATATGACTGACAAGCCGACGTCCACTGAGCCGTGGAGTCGGCCCCGAGCCACGTCGGTGGGTGACCGAGCGTATACTAGGATACCACCGTCTACGACGAAGAACCGCTGGAAAATGACCAAGGATGTCAGTAAATGGTGTGTGGCTACGGTGGAGGTGATGTGTTGGTGATTTTTATGACATATACTTGGTGATAGTGTCGCACGTACGCTTAATGAGAAAGTTCTGACTTGACTGCCTCTTTCGCCGAGTGGTTCCAAGTGCGACTGCTGGGCGAGGGGTCTCGAGTTCGATTCCCGGGTCGGGCAAAGTATTACTGGGTTTTTAAAAGCCTCAGTAGTAGCACGGAGTCTGGACATGTGCCCGGTATATGGCCATAGGCTCACCCCTAATACGCTTACATGGGACTCATAACATAAATAGTGAAAAGTGGGTGTTACATTGTATAGTGGCATTAAGTGCCGTAATGTGCGCCTCTGCCTACCCCTACGGGGCAAAAAGGCGTGATGTTATGTTATGTTAATAATGTACCCAACCCGTATATTTCTTTACCTTGTGCCATCCTTTGAGAGGCCATTTCCTCTTCTTGTGTAGGTAACCGTTGAAGACGTCCGGCCTCTTCTCGAACCTCTGGCCGTCTTTCAGACCCTCCAACACCTCCCATTCGCTGCCTCGGCGACGACTTAACATACAATGAAATGTAAAGTTAATAAGTTTCAAAATTCATAATCAACAATAAAAATGAAGTTAAAGAAATCAACTACCTACCATTTATACTTTAATGCTCCTAATAAAACCTTGTCAGGGTAAATAGTACCCTAACTGCTTATAGCTCAGCTGTGTTTTCAGCCAGACATTTTTAACCATTTTAGTATGACTAAATATCAAATATACAAAACATTTCCATTTATTAAATGAACTTGAAGTTAATGATTCTCAATGCAGTAGGTATGGTCAGACAAAGACCTAAAAGAATAATATAAAATGGGTAATACTTAAAAGATTCGACAAAAAAAGAAGAATTGTCCTTACTCAAAATACTAAATCCATTGCTTAAAATACTAACTTTCCGACTACTTTTGTCCGAATAAAAATGACAAAACGACCGAATGAGATCTTCGAAAAATAAACATGACTATTTTTGTTTTTTTTTTATGGCATAAGAGATCCAGCCAGGATCACCTGATGGTAAGCAATCGGCGTCGCCCATGGAGGATTTTGAGGATTAGGAGTTTGAGGATCGTTGGGGATTCAGGAATTAGGGAGATTGGGGAAGGGGAGGGTAATTGGGCCTCCGGTAATCTCACTCACACGACGAAACACAACGCAAGCGTTACGTCGGTTTTCTGTGAGGCCGTGGTATCACTCCGGTCGAGCCAGCTCATTCGTGCCGAAGCATGGCTCTCCCACACTTTTCACTGTTCATTGCTTTATTTTTTTTACCACCATAAACTACGTTTTACTAAAAACTATGCTTTGTCTAACCTAATCTAAAACCTCTGTTGTCGGTAACTTAGTAATATTGTCGGAGGTTCAGTATACTATAGGGAAGTTTAGTTTGTTATTCGAAGACCCATTTTATAGTCGGCCACAGACACGCTGGAGATTAATATGTTTTTCGGAACCATTACTATTTTCCATATAAAATCGTAGTACAGCAATATAATGAAACACTTTTACAACCAAAGATGTCACGGACGATTTACACGACAGCTTAAAAGGTCAAGAGAAATGAGGTTAATATTTGGACCTTAAAATAGGCCTTTTACGGTTAACCCATATCAAAGTCCGAATTAAAACATAACATTAATTTAGCTATCACTCAAGTACCGAGCAAACTGTGACCTTTGGAGGTCGTTACTTAAAATAGAGTTACTCCGGAGTAAATTCACGAAATGTTGTGTCATTGTGTCATAATTAATTATTACTTTACGATATTCATTTCGGGAGTAGCTGGCGAAATGTTGATTAGTAAAAGGTTCATCATAAAGTTATAATATTACAAATTCATTTTAAACTCCTACACAAATCAAACTTTGTTCTACGGAATGATGTAATGTCAGTGAGTAAAATACGCTTTTCATTTTCAATTACTCTTGGGAGGAAAGCTCTTGAGCCCCTAGCATATTTCCTTTTTAATTTCTTGATAAACATGTATTTTATTAATTGGTAACGTATGTCCAGTGAAAGGCAATTTAGTTACCTTTTAAATGAGAGCATTTTTTTGTAAAAGGGATATTTTTTAAAGTTACGGAAATCAGTTGCAGCAAGTGTAGTTCTGGACCCCACAACTACGAGCGGGTAAAATCACCAGTGGAGAGCAATTTTCAAGATTTTGTAGACAATAATATGTAACGAACAAGAATTTAATTAATTACAGAGAATCCCTTCAAAATTCTTTGTCATGCCTTAAAGGTAGGATTGACAACAAACATTTTGATAGAAATGAAATCGCTCCAGCACTTGTCTAGCCACAATTTACTAAAATGGCGAGAGCATCCCATTTGGGGATACCACATCGTCACCAATATTTTGTATGCAGGACGCCTAATGGCAACGATTTGGCTAACTGCCAGTTTTGCTCATATTAGGGGAGAGCTAAGATGACGCATGCTAGACTGCCTATCAATCATACAGGTATCTAGGCAGGTATCTTGGACGAAAAAGACGAACTGTTTTAATTTTACGAGCAATTTTTTAGTGGTGTTGAAGTTTTAGCCTATTTTTGGCTGGAATTTGAGGAAGGTATACAAAAACTATTTTAGTTTTTTTATGGAATTTGGTCAACATTGTATGAAGAACTAAATTTAACTCTTAATCAACCTTAACCAACTGGTTAATGTACAGTAACTAATTTTACACGTCATGTACCTATTCACGACGAGCGACACACGACAAGACTGTACGACCATATATGTCAGTTTACCCTTAAAAACTTCAACAGATAGTTTGAACTTACCCCCGATTCTTGCCCGCTCGCGTGGGCTGCGGTGGCGGCCGAGGGGCGCGGTCCCCGCTGTCGGCTGACAGTGAGGCGGTCTCCCCTGAACAGTCAGAGTCGGAGGGCGCGCGTCGCAACGCAGCCGCGCGACCCGCAGCGCCGCGACGGCGCTCACCTGTCACCAAAATCGTCTATGTCAAGATACTGATGTGTCTGATAATGATGAGTTTGTGATGCCAACTGGTACCAAGTAACTTATCACAAACATGTCAGAATTGACAATTTACTCAAACTTCAAAAAAATCAAATTGAAAAATCTTACAATAAAACATCACTTAGGGTTAAGTTAAGAGTAGCCTGAAGATTTAGATCAAAGTTATACTCTGAAAACAGTGACCAACTAATAAGTCACAATATTTTTTATGGGATAAGCCGGTAAACGAGCAGACTGATCACAAGCATGATGGTAAGCAATCGGCGTCACCCATGGACACCCGGAACACCAGATGCGTTACAAGTGCATTACCAGCCTTTTGGGTATTAGTAATTGGAGGATTGTTTGGTATTCAGGGATTAGGGAGATTGGAGTCTGCAGTAATCTACTCACACTTCTACTCATTATCAAAATCATCGAATGACTGCTCCCGCCTGGGTGAGGCGAGAGGGAGTGTCAGATTCTTACTGACTAAAAAGCACCCCGTTCCTTCCCCTCAGGTGGGTTGGATGGAGACCGTACTATAAAAGGTATAAAAGACCTAAACAGTCTTTTTGTCAAATCAGTATAATATGAACTCTCTTATGACAGCCACTGAAAGAGCAGGTTTAGTGACATACATATAAATCTCAGGCAAACTGGCGAGGAAAACCAGTTAATATCATAATCAAGACCGTGGAAGTTGATTACACAATTGTTTTATTTAATTACAACGACATCTGTTGATTAAGTGCTGGCTTTGTTTGATCAGCTTGTTAAGACAATGTCTTTCAATCTCTGAAGGGGTAAGTTGAACACACGTATAAAATCGGAGATCCAGTTTTATCTATTTATGTTATGACAGATATACATAGCATACTTCTTTGTCCTATGGAGGTAGGCACAAACTATTACTACTGCGATCCTTACGAGTACCTATGTAAAAGGGGGTGAAACTTAGCAAACACCGGATAGAAATCTGGACTAACTTCGTCTGTCTGTCTGTCACGACATGTGCTATAATTGAGAATTTTCCTTATGTTGATTGCTTCGCTAGCCGAGTGCAAGTGCGACTGTCGGGCAAGGAGTCCCGGGTTCGATTCCCGGGTCGGGCAAAATATTACTGGGTTTTTAAGAAATTCTCAGTGATAGCACAGAGTCTGGAATTGTGTACGGTATATGGCCATAGGCTCACCTCTAGTACCTGAGACTCATAACATAAATAGTGAAAATTGGGTGTAACATTGTACACTGGCAGTAAGTGTCGTAATTTGCACCTCTGTCTAACACTTCGGGGATAAAAGGCATGTTGAAAATCCAATAATAGCCCAAGAATTGAGCCCAGCACCCTTGCTGAACTGTCACTCTTGCGATCACTTTAACCAACGAGTAAAGCAGTTATGATGACAAAAGTAATTTATTGTTCAATCACTCTATTTGATCAGCTTGTGTAAACACGCCTCGTCCACGTGTGTGATTTTGAGTTCGTTGGTCGACTTTTTTAAAGATGTTAGAGATCGTTAAATTATTTCAACTTAATTCAATAGACTTTAGCAGGTACAGTGAGCATCAATAGAGTTTAGCAGGTACAGTGAGCATCAATAGTCGATGAACACATTTAGATTTTCAAAATCGCTGTACATGATAACAACAAGCGCCAGAAGGAATTAATTATCTTGTGTTACATTTTTTTTGTGAGGGGGATATTATCTCTTACTGACTAAAAACCACCCCGTTCTTACTCCTGCACTTCGAGCCGGAGCCCCGGTAACCCGTTAGGTTCTCCGCGACTGCGTATCGGCATCAGCCCTATTGGGCCCCATCCATGGTGGTCTGATGGATCTTTGAGGCGCGCGCCGTACGCTCAGTTCTGGTTTTGGTCGAGCGTGCTTACGGTGGCCGAAGATCGTAACCATGGACATCTTAAGTTGAAGTCTATGCCTTAGAATTCTCTATATAAATTTTAAGACCGAGTGTGGAATTAGTTAATTGAACGACTTTCCTACTACTATTATTGCAACTATAAAATTCCCGGTTAGAAGTGCATAAATGAAGAAGGATAGCTAAGAAACAATTTCCCTTTACTCAAGATCTTGGCAGTGACACCACGCTACCACAAATTTATTGTATATGAACAAAGCCCACATTCAAAACCAATAAACTGGGAAACTTGGCAAGACACAATACCTAGGTTATTTGCAAAAAGTTTACCGTTTTGAATGAACATAAGTGCTGCACTGCGACGCTTCGTGGTGCAAGCTAGGATGGGGGTAGAGTACAATACATTTGTCATCACATTATTCATAAAGACTGTCTAAAGTCATCTATGTTATTTTAAGAATTGTTTGACTAAATCTTTTTTGTTTTTACTTGTGTTATGTTGTTGCTTTGGATTTCTGATTTTGTATTTCTTATAGGTATAAATTTTCTTGACATTTTTGTAATTTAATATAATAATCACAAGGTAACTATAATTTGTGGTGTATTATATTTTAGAATGTATCTTTTGTTAGAAGTCTAAATAAATAAATCACTTCTACTCTTCCCGTGGGTATCTTACGAGCCTTGCCTAGGGCTTCCATCCTCAAGGAGCCCCGAAGGACTGGCAAAAGAAATGGACATGGCAGCCGGTTGCAAAGTCTTTGTGTGCTCCACAATCATATTAGCTTGCACCACTGCGACGTTTAGTAGTGCAAGCTAATATGATTGTGAACAGAGTGCAGGCATTACTTGAGAAATCACGCGAGCTATAATATAATAACCTTCTCAATTGATGTGACCTGGATAGAACAGAGGATAGGGTTTTATAGTGAATAGGTTTTCTTAATCAACATAAAACTGTAATATACTAATAAATTGCCTATTTATAAAAGATACTTAATCACCAGCTACTTTCATCTCTGCACTACTTAAAGGTTGACTGGGAGACAATGCCCAAGGCATTAAGTCCACCTGCACACGCTGGTATTAAGTTGAATTAAAACAAAATAAATAAATACACTTTTCGACATCTTGAATTTATATTCCCAAAAACAGATTTATATCTTGTTGCCCTAATCTTTAGATTACTTTGTCGGTTGAGTGGTCGCGAGTTCTACAGACAAAGAATCCCGGAGAATTAAGTTGAAGGGGGATCTGGTGTCGAGCAATAAGACTCTCATGGATTGATCATAACGATGGTGACTTGAAGACCAAACCGGACTTATCATACGAACTCCTTTTAAACCTGAGAGCGTCGCTCGTTCAGATTATTCAGTAACCTCATAGACTATCATAGAAGCAGCAGCTGTAGCCAAATGCCATTTAATGCTTATCTACATGTAGAATAGAAAACCAAATTATATGGAATTGACGTGAATTTTGACACTTGTTACATTTAGTTTTCTACTCTCTCTGTAGACAAGCGCTAAATTGGCGTTTGGCTAAATGCACAGGATACTCACGTTTGTTCTCGAGGCGCGTCGGCTCTGTGACGACATTCTTCACTCCTCCTTGATTCATGTCAGTGCCGCTACACGCGCCTACCAGTAACCATCTTAATTCGGCTGTAATAGAGGAAAAGCAACATTAATAATTACTCATTACAATTATCTTACCACCTACGATCCATAAGTACGTATGTATAATGCCCATCACATTTCGATATTAGTTTCGATAGGACTAGGTGAGAATTGAGATGCAGGGTAAATCTTTGAACTAAATTCCATTGATAAAATGTGAAAGTATGTGAGGGTTTTAGAGGAGATTTAACCAACGAGGAGCTTGGCAATGGTAAAATTAGTTTTTTACCATTTGTAATATCTATATCTCGTGTGCCGAGAACGACTGCCTCGTTGGCTGAGTGGTCGCAAGTGCGACTGCCGGGCAAGAGGTCTCGGGTTCGATTCCCGGGTCGGGCAAAGTATTACTGGGTTTTTACAAAAATTTCAGTAGTAGCACGGAATCTGGATTGTGTCCGGTATATGGCAATAGGCTCACCCCCTATTACATGGGTCTCATAACATAAATAGTGAAAAGTGGGTGTTACATTGTACAGCGGCATTAAGTGCCGTAATGTACACCTCTGCCTACCCCTTCGGGGATAAAAAAGGCGTGATGTTATGTTATGTAATATCTCGTTCTTGGAGGAATTTTGGTTCTTCGGTTTCCAATAAAATAGAAGAGTTTCGATAACTTTGTAATAAAACCATCTTAAAATAAAATCTTTCCTATATCCATTCAAGAGCACTCTAGAACAATACTAGTTAGATCTAGATATACATACATACATATATTAAAAACCAAAAAAAAAACAATCTAAATACAAATCTTCCTAAAATAAAACAAGGTCTAACACATAAGACATACCTATCTTTAAAAAATATAGGAATGCTAAAATAATTTGGCTGACGATGGCGACGCGATGACGCAACCACTACAGGACTTAGATCATCAATAATATATCAATGATCGTAAAATTATGTATCATTACTTGTAATCATGATCATTATCATGCTGTAGTATGTTTTGGTTTGGGTAACAAAGACTTTTTGTTTACTGTAAGATGTCTATGCCTGATAGACAGTACGACTATTTTGCCATTAGGACAGATAAATAAAAATATGCCTGATGATTCTACCTTCTCCCATAAGTAAAACATGTGTCTTTTACAAATTAACAATTTTTTTTAAGCGGTGACAATCATCGAATGACTGCTCCCGCCTGGGCGAGGCGGGAGGGAGTGTCAGACTCTTACTGACTAAAAACCATCCCGTTCCTACTCCTGCACGTCGAGCCGGAGCCCCGGTAACCCGTTAGGTTCCCCGCGACTCCGAAAATTAACCAGTTTAGCCTGTTCATAATTATCATTTTCCTCAACCTGTATCTGTTCCACTGATGGGGGCAGGCCTCGTAAAATAATGTGGAGAAGGAATGAGAATCAATCACGGTGAGCAAGCTCAAGGCAAAGGAGACGGATACCCTTTCATACAATTTTGGGCCTA